TAAGATGCTCAAATCAGGTTCAGACCTTAGAATTCAGTGTACTCAGATATGACTCTAGATTTCCTCAGGATTCATGTCAGTAATTTCCCAGTCATGTTTAGCGACTTGTCAAGAAATTTGTGCACTTTACTGATCAACTTCCAAATGTTATCAGTAAAGAAGTTTGAATCAGAATTCAGAACCTGAAAAAGGGTCTAAGTTTGAGAACTCTAGATTAAATTCTAGATTTATTCAGGTCGAATTTACAACTCGTCAAGAGATTTGTAAACACTTATGTTATACAAATCTTAGTAATCATGTTCCTCAGACATTTTCTATCAAAAATTGCCATTTTTGCCAACTAGTTGGCAGATTTCAAAGAGGAATTCCTTGAGTTAGATCAGGGAATAGACTCAAATCTCTTGAGACAGATCAGTAAATCATGTTCAAGGCTAAATTTTCATGTTAAAGGTTGTTATAATTTTCAAGTCATTGTCAAGGTAACGGTTTCCAGTGTATAAGAGTCAATAGTCCGGGTTACCATGGAGGCTTGAAATAAGACACTCAGCCGGGTATACCATGGAGGCTTGAAGCTGGGGCCGGAGCAGTATGATTTCATGTAATCACAACCTTTAAAGTCAGTCATGTCATGTATTTTACCAATCATGATAATCCAAGTTAAGAGATCAAGATCAGTTATTCCTTTTGTACTTGTGGGACCAGTTGTTACTGCAACAGCCCTATACAGTACATAGTCATGAGTCAATGTTCACGATTCAAAGACAATGTTTATGTATTAAGGTCGACGTATAATAGTTGTCAAGCCGGGTTAAAAAAAAAAAGGAGAACTGATATACAAGTCAGTAATCCAAATTGACCTGGAAACTTGAAATCGTACCTTATCAAGCAACAGTAAGTTAGTAAATGTCATGTTCCACATTCCGAGATAACTATTTAGTTGTATCGGGATAGCTTTCAGAGTTCAGGCAAAGATGATTCAGTCATGTAAAAGTCAAGTCATGGTTATCCAACTATGAAAATATTCAGGCTAGTTAGGCCAAGTCAAAGATAGTCTGTCTAATAAGACAAGACGTATCAGTCATTTCAAGTATAATCAGTGCCTCGATTCTCAAATTGTGAAAATTTGAGAAATCGTAGGAAAGATTTGTTCATGATAGACTTTTATGAGGATAAGTTTAACCTCAGGGAAGGTAAACAGTTGCAGGTACCACATGTCGACATACAACGCGACGAGAAGCGCCAATCAACAGCAACAGACCATGATGATCAACTGAAGCTTTTCATCCAAGGATGCATGACGCAAGAAAAGAAGGATGCCATGTCTGAGTTACAGTACATTGGGAGATTACAAAGATTTAGCATTATAGTACATTGAGGTTACTAGCTTGAGGTACAGGTATGATCAGTTACACAGACTACGTCGACGACGCAGGCGCAATGTTCGCCAGGTGCTGTATGCAGACGTGCCGCACTCACTTGATGAGGAGCGGGTGTGCCGCAATACAATGTGCCGCGAACGATGTGCCGCGTTATCAAGTAGACGTTCAGGAAAGGTAATTACCAATATTGCTAGTTATCCTCATTTGTACATGTGCGTATCTCTGGAAATTTTTCCGTGTGTACCAATAAACTTGGGTTCCACAACTAATGTTCAGACCGAAGATCAGCAATCAGCCAAGAAATAAGGACCAGTACGCTCAAGAAGCATGTTTTTAATATCATGTATAATCAGTGAAACACTTTATTTCAGGAAAGTGTTCATTCTCAGTCAGCAGTATCTAACAATTCACTTAATTGTGAATTGATGACTCCTCAGTTAAAATCAAATCCATTATTCAGTATTAAAGTACTGAATTCTCAAGTCATGTAATCAGTAAGTATAAGCTTTAAGTTAAGCTTGTACATTCCAGTTTTGGTATTTCCGAGGACGGAAATATATTAAGGGGGTGGATTGTAACGCCCCATATTTTATTAATAAAGGAAAATACTAGCTTTTAGTTTTAAGCTAGCCTTTGTTAATAAATAATCATGTTCATGTTCAAGTTCGAGTTAATCAGCTAGTTATATTCCAAGTTTGACTATTAGTCAATATATTATTCAGTTTAATTATTTCAGTAACCGGATAGGTTTCCAGATTTAATTCCGATTCGTTTCTTTTACTAATGAGTTCGGAATTAATAAGTTAAGTTCACGAATTATTCGAAATATTAATATTCGGATTAATCGTCCAAGTCAGGAATATTCCGTCATGTTAGTAATATAAATCATGTATTTATTCTGATATAATAATATTGTCGAGTATTATTTTCAGAATTAATTATTTCAGTCGAGATTATCCAAAATTATTTTCGACGTCCCGTTTACGTTCGGAATAATTTTGGTAATTAGGTATTATGCTTAATTAAAAAAATTAAGCATTTAATTGTGATTAGTTAAGGATTAATCACACTCAAAGCATTAAGGCCGTACCAAATTTTCTCAATTAAATTCAAAAGCTGTAGCTTTTATTTATTTTTGTCCAAAAATCTCTTCAAATTGCCGTATCAATTTCTTAAGGCATAGGAAACATTTTTTCCTTCTCCCTCAAGTGCTTAACGTGGCAATTTAAGAAGGGTTCATGTGGTGCTTAGTCAACTTAAGTTTCTTTTATCTTGTTACAAGTGCCCTCAATTGGGAAGGCCACCAAGGCCCCATGTCACCCTATTTTTCCCTACGGTTTGGTGTATAAAAGGAGGACTTGGGATGAAATTTTTCCCCATAATTCAGCACCATATTTTCCTCTCCAAATATACTAAGTCCAGCAAGGAAATAAGTGAATTATTGCTACCGCATAGCATAGAACGCAAGTAGCCGCACTGCACGGCAGTACGCATGCACGTCAGGAGTTCGAGAGGGCCGTGAATTTGTGAGTTGGTTAAGGAGGTAATCCTCTTATAGGATTCTTATGGTCATGTTGTTCCTTTCCAGTTTAGTTAAGTTCATGCGTTCAAGTTAAGCTTCATGTTCAATTGCCGTGCGTACGGTTCATGCCGAACACATCATGTTTAGATCGAAATCTCTTAAGTATTTGTTATATAATCAGTCCATGTATGTTGTTAACCTTCATTTCAGGTCATGTATTAAAAGAATGTTCATGTTGTTCGGTGTTTCGGCCAATGGGACGTGGTCGCGCACGTAGCGCGCACCACGGGCCGAGCGTGGTTGTGGTTTATATTAAGTAGCAGATCTCCGAGCATTTCATGTCCAGTTATTCAG